CAGATTTGATGCCTACTTTCAACTTTTGAAGTGAAAGAAATTAAACTTTAATTCAGCTTGTAAACTCATCTTTAAATAAGAGTGGAGTTGTACTTTATTTTCAAAGTAATAAAAATTCCTAGTGGAATATTGAAAGATGTCAAAATACATAATCGAGAGTACCAAAAGATCTGTCTACCATTTCAAAAAATTGGGTAAACAAATATTCAGAAATCCGATTGTTTCACAGATAATCAAATATATTGACCATAAAATGAGATCATTAGTTTGCAGGGTATAAGTTAGAAGTAGTTTACAAAGAGCAAAATTATACAAGGTGAGGTCAAACTAGGAAGGATCAAAGTTGTTAAACGAAAAATATTCAGAAAGTTATGAAGTCTTAAATTGACTATCTGAAATGAACTAATATGTCTTAAACTAATCATAAATACCTACAGAAACTTGATTTCACTTACTCAAAAACTAAATAGACTTATGACATATGGCGTCAGGTAGCAATCAGGAAAGATTTATCCATAAGAACAGGATTCTTGTTTTCATACTTAAATTACATATGAATAAATTTTTTAGTTTAACGTCAGCCAGTTAAGCCACTTCAGTGCAAAGTTCTCATTCAATCAAGTCAGTGAGATATCGACAAATTAGTTTAAGCCCTACAATTCACTAAATCGTGGATCAAGTAAGCAACCAATTAGATGACTATTAGATACAAAACCACTTTACTCCACCATGAAATCGGACTGAATATAATTCTTAATATGAAATACTTTTAAATCGTAAAACAAAAGTAGAGAGCAACGCAGTTGGAAAATCATAGTATCTATTTATACGTGCAATAAAGTTTCACATAGACTTATTGTGTAAAGGCTTTTTCGATACTAATTCGTCAAATGAATCAAAATGGGCGAAATCAACTTGAATTCTCAAATTAATAGGTAAAAACCAGTTATGTAGGTATATAGAGTTACATGTTTGAAAAGCCAAGACAACCTTCAGTACATTATTCTAGAGAATCTGACAATACTAGTATAGGGGTTGTGGAGATTATTAAGTTTTTGATTGAGATCATGAACCGATTGATGTTAGACCATCACAATTGAAAACCTGGAAGCACTGGACGGCCGTTTCGTCCTATTGTGGGGCTCCTCAGCAGTGCGCATCCACGATCCCGCGAGCGGGATTCGAACCCAGGGCCTTTGGTCTCGCGCGCGAACGCTTAACCAACTGGACCACTGAGCCGGCATCTAATGGTGACAGTTTCTAACATCAACCAATCTGACAATACTTTTGATATGCGCGTAAGATCCACCAACACTAAGTTTGAAAACAAATTCGATAAAAGAACGAATGATACATACTTCGGTTCACAGGAGTTAAATACCATTATAACTTAAAGTCATGATTTGGAAATAAAAGTAAATAAAGTGTTTGTTGAGAATGGAATTTAACTAAAATACTAGGAAGTACTAGAAAAATGTTTTATTCGGGAATAAGACTCCTCCTTATTAGTACAGATTATCTTCAGCTTTCGTAGGGAGTGAAATGTCTTTAAATGTCTTAAAATCAAAAGTTAGTGATTGCCAAATTTTTTTACAAATTAAGTCGATATCTGTTTTATAACGTTGGCATTAACCTAATCACGTGACATGAATTATAGTCAATGTGAAAATTTCAATAAGTTGGTTAGTCCAATTAATAAAAAGTTGATTTATTATTAAATAATGAAATTATGTATAAATTTTCGAAAAAGAAACTTGATTAAAAGACCATTATTTGACAAAATATTATTATGCAGCATAAATAATAATGAATGTACTTCAACAATAATTTTAGAAGAGTATAACATCATGATCTACTTACAAGAATTCAGAAAGAAACGAAGTGAATAATATAATTTTATACAGTCCAACTAACTGACATTCCATCGTAATGTATTATCTGATGGTTTATCACTATACTGTTTCTTTTCTAACTCTTCAATACGTTCTTGTTTTCTTCTAACTTTTGCAAGATCTCCAATCCCACGTGATTCACTTTCAGCTAATCGGCGTTCGATAGCTTCTACTTGTAATCGTCTACGAGTCTCTAAGTCTACGGGTCCCCCACCACCGCCACGTTCCGAATAGGATTCATAACGGATCTGTGAATTGTCGTTGTCGTCGACGTCGGAACTACGGAAACAACAGAACAGGCGTTCACACTAAGAAGAAATTGAAATAAAAAGTACTCTCATTATAGAATCATTTTGTTAAATAGAAATCTAAGCCAAATAATTTTTTTAACTAAGCCAGAAAACTATTAGGTAAACTAGTTTGTCACTGAATAATGCCGAATCCTGCATTGTAGTCTTTAGGTAGTGATTAAATTCTACAGGTGGAGTTGAAGTGCAGCTATCACTTTTAGGTGACTCAACATCAAAGTTTGACAGATCAGTTATTCCCAGAACAGCTTAACGGTGACATCCTCAATTACGGCACTATTTCGAATCCCACGAGGAACATCGGTTCAATCAAGGTTACAAATATACTTTAATAATGATGAGTTCAAACTAGTAAGAAATGAAAGCTCAGAACTTTCTAGAATTCGACCCAGTAACCGATTAGTTGTGTCATGCCTGGAAAAAACCTGCTGACCAGATGTGGGAGTGTGCTAGGTCTATAAACTTATAAGGGGTTTTGATATAAGTAGGAATATTTGTCTAGTCCCCTCCTAATATTAAAAGCGACCTATACCATTCTCTTATTTGCTGAAGTGTCGACTAATACACTATCCACTTTGTCAATCAGTTACATTAAGTATGTTTGACTCGATCTGTGTAATCAGTTTATGTAAAAGTTATACAACCGCTGAAAAATAAGAAGGCACTGAAACTGGATAACTGTTCAGTCATAGTATGAGACTCATCAACAGTGTATATCCACGATTCCACTGACGATCGAGCCCAAGTCTTTCAGATACGTGATGAAAACTATGAAAATTCAACAATCGCTACAAACCTGTAATGCAACTGTAACCAAATATTCACTAATGACCATATTTAAGAGGTAGTTACCGAAGTTCTAGTGAGAAGCCGTGAGAGAAAGGCAGTTAACCAAAAAAACAATGGGAGGTAATCGCGCAATATTATGAATTAACCAAAGTTACATATACAAACCGCCAGATGTCGGCTCAGTGGTCTAAAGGTTCGGACCAGAAGGTCCTGGATTTGATCCCACTCGAGGTATTGAATGGGCATTGTTAAGGAGTTTTATACTACGATGAAATAGCTGTCCAGTGAATACTGGTTGTGTAACTAAGATCAATCAGTGGTGCAAACCATAAAAATTCAATCTCTACAAGCCCCTATATCAATTGGTTTAGGTTGTTTTAGTCTCAAGGAGAAAGAGGCAGCACTGATTAACGTACAGATGTAAAGACGAGAAGATTCCCAGAAGCCAGTTTAGGTTTCACTGTTGCTGGGTACTAACACAAACAACATCAAACTGCATCTATATAAAAACAGTATCAAACAACATATTTCATTTGCATACACTTCTTTATTTAGATTTATCTATGTCATTTGTGATTTCTGTCTTCAATAAGTTTTGCATACTAAAGAGATCAATTTGTCTATAAAGTAACGGGAATCATATGTAAAATTTACCAGTCAAGAAATATAGGTCCCATGAACATGAAGATAAACCTTAAGAATAAAGTAAAAACAAAAGTTTCGACAAGATTTTATGGCTTATAGTCAAGCAGATATCTCCGAATGTATCAGTTTACTACTATTTAATCGAGTAATTTGCATGTTTATATTACAAAACCGTTGTAAAATCTGGTTGTATAATAACGTGCTTGTCTTAATCCCCAATATGGTAATTAAAATTAGTATTTCTAATCACAAATGGACCATAGTTCGGTTATAGTACTTAATTAATCTAAATTATTCTTACCAAGTCTAAGTCTATGTATTTGAAACGCAAAGTCATGCTGTCTATATGAGGGCTAATGATAGAACCTGGCTACCGAGACTCAATTAGATAAAGCTTAATTTCAAACCTGTACCTTGTTGGTTAAAAACTGAGCGTCAGATTAGCCAGAATAACAAATCCGAGGTTGGTTAACGTAAGAAAACTGTCTTGACTTATAGGAATATTTATGTATGAATACATACAAATAATAAATGGTACTAAAACAAAAAAATAATTAGTTTAATTCAGAAATCACATTGAGGGTGATAAACTTAGCATAGACGAGCAAAACGTGACTAGTTCAATAGGGCTGGACGTGCAAAATGTGTATCGACCAATAAGAGAACAGTTAGTTCACGATTATTCGATGAAGCGTACGAAAGAGGATTGTGACGTAAAAACACGTTACCCATGAGTAATACAGTTATAAAACATAAATCTAACACCGAGTGTTTTAGCCGTTAAACCAAAGCTATACATTAGTGTCATTTTTTGAAAAAGGGTTTGGTTCTCATTTCTTGGGTATCAGGCACACTTTAAATGTGAAGGCTTATTTTACAACCTGGTTGCCAAAGAGGAGCAGATGGGGTGGGGTTTGAACCCGGGACTTGATGGCTGAAGGTTGAACACCTTAGCTACTAGCCCATGGCTCTATTGACCTTCCCTTCTAGAATTTATGCAAACGTTTGTCTTGGTATACTACAATTAAGAGGGAGGCATAAATACTGAACTGTTTTTCGTCCAGTCTTTAAATAAAAGCAATCTGAGTTGGTTCTTGTCATAATTTTCTACGTTTCACAATGTTTGTCGTGCATAGTAAATGTGGATTAAGACTGATTTCACTTCTGACTTAATGGTAATATTAATTCTTGATTTGTTTAGAATTACCGATGTTCAGAGATAATTTTCAATAGTGACTAACTAATGACGAAAAAGAGTTAAATTAAGAGTTAGCTACGTGACTTTCTCAGTCGTGCAAACGCTTAAATTTTGACAATCTGTAAAGAGACTGGTATTCTACTTCACGTCTATTTTAGTTTGAGCTGGACACAGATATCTTTATCAAACAATTGTTCAGTCAATCAATAACAACGTAACAGAGCAAGAACAATTACCAAAAGGATTATTCATGATTTGAGTTTTATTTTACACAAATTATCATACAAAGAATTTGTCAAAATAGCTTATTTCATGTGTATTGAGGGTGAGTAGTTGGGTGGGAGGGTATGACGAGTTTACATGAAATTATTCACATTTGTCTTGTTGAGTACAATATTCATCACCATCTTCATCGTCTTCAGATGAGGATGTCACGCTTAATGCACCACCAATCTTTTCCATTTCACACTTAGGGCAATCACACCAAAACAAATAATTTGATGATAAGTATTTACGTCTTGTGTGACGACCACGTGATTGTAGACAATGATCCAAATAGGAGATAGTGACTTCTTCACCTTCTTGAATCGGCGTCAATGCAACCACAGATAATCGACTATTGACTCCACTGAAACGAATTATTGCATTCGGTGAACAACTATGATTAATCCGACCTAAGCGGTAAAGAAGAAAAAGTAATGACGATCAAGCCTTAGAATATAGCAAACTAGAAATTAGTATTCAGTGATAGGGAATATACGAAAGTTGTATACTACACTGATTTCTTTCTGGCACTGATCCGTATTTATACTTAAACATTCATGGACTTAACAATCCACATATCAAACTTCTACGTTCAAATACTGCTAAGTAGGGAAGGATAAAATACCGTCGTCATGAGCCAACTGGGCTACATTGGCTAGAACAAAAGTTCCTCAAGGTTCAACCATGCCAGACAGTTCGGTAGGACTAAAAGCAGCAAACCCAAGGTTTGAAGGCGAAGTCGTACTGCTGAATGTACAGAGGTGTGACGGCAGTAAAATGTTTCCTTCGGACAACCAGCATAACAGCGATGCTGCCTTCCCACAAGGAAGGGTGGGGTTGGAAAAATGCACATCTCGCCTTATACCATGGATCTTCGTCTCCGGCGGTAAGGTCTCAAGTACAGAGCTGACACAAAAATGCTGTGTGACCGGCCTCAAGCAGTTGTCCTTTGGGCACTGCCTTATAGATTAATGATTTCTTCTCGTATAGAAATTCTTCGTCTTTCCAGTGCTACGGCTTGTTTAAGTTACAGCCTATAAGATCAAACACTTAGACAAAAACACATTCTAGTTACCACCATATATGTAACTTCGATAAGGATGTTAACAACTTTTCTTGCACTTAAAAATTCTTTCTTAAACCTAATAATTATCGATGAACTCTCTCAGGTCACTAAGACCACCCCTAATCCAATTCCCTTTTCAAGTACCTCCAGAACCCTTTCGCGATGTGAGCGGCCGGGAAGTGATAACCACACTCATACCTATAACGGCACTCAACACCACTGTATTCATAATCAATCTCCCTCTGTAATTCCGATTATTCGCCCTATATCGACTTTCAACACTAAACTTTCTCTTTTGGCTTGCTCCTCAAGTGTCACCATAGCCAAAGATTCTAGTGCTCAAAACACTGTCCAAGGTCTACTGAAACCTCGCTCCAAACTACACATTGGAACCTTCCGCGTACGTATCCTGTGTCAAATAGGCCAACAGGACTTCTTGGCTAAGACCCTAGAATCTCCTAACATAGATGCATGCTGCGTCTCCTAAAACCACATGCAGGACCCTGATGTGGTCATAAACTTGACCTTATCTAGCCAAAGCAGAGCCGACGAGATACACCCTCAGTTTATCTGGCGACCGGACGGCAAATTCTCGTGGACTAATTGGTATGGGCATAGCACTAAGTATGTGGGCATAACAAGCACTTTTAGAATGGATCCCCATTAACAGTCGCCTATGCGTTATTTGGCTAAACGGCTCTGTAAGAACTCAGAAGGATAGGGACACAAGTCGTTGCCTTTTCGTCATTTCTGCCTACGCTCCCACTGACTGAAGCCCGGATAAAATGAAAAATGACTTTTGCAGAAAGCTTTCTGAACTTCTTCAAAAGGCTAAACACTCAGATATAGTACTCGTAGGTTACTTTAATGTCCAAGTAGGTAGCTTAAACCGAACATTTAGGTGGGTATTTTGGTATTCCGGCTCAGCAAACAAATAATGGTGACCGTCTGCTGCAACTGCGCTCAGACAATCGTCTATTTATAAAAAGCACTAATCTTAAGCATAAGGAGAGACATTGTCTAACATGGCGATACCCCGCACCAAACTAACGATGGACTCAGATCACATTGCCATCATCCATTGTTGGAGAGGCTCGATAGAAAACTGACGCTCGTTCTGGAGTATATGTTTAAACTCTGATCATTCTCTAGTACGAGAGCGCAATTGCTTGTGCCTAATAAGATGCAGAAAAGCCACATCAAGAAGAGCAATTAGAGTTGTACTCAGCGACGAAAAAGCGAAAGGTAGCTTTCAGCAGCAACTGAAATCACACTCAGGTAAATTCGAAAAAGAGGCTGACTTAGATGTTGCTTGGAAAGATATACGAACAGCTATAGAAACAGCAGTGATATATATTATTGATTTGAACTAAAGGGTTTCGGAAAACTAGTGGATTTCTGCGACATCTACTACATTGATATACTCTCATAAACTCGTCCAATTAGCCTCCGCACACGATGAAGAGGGGAAAAAAACCAGATCTAGGGCTACAAAAAGTCTACGGAACGATCGTGAGCAGTGGTGGGCAACGAAAGCAAAAGAGATGGAAAAGGCAGCGGCTGTATGTAACATCAGACAGCCTTTCAGACTAATAAAAGAAACTGGAACTAAGAAGTCAAATGAAAGTGAGGCCCCCCGACTCTAATTGAAGTTCAAAAGGCTATAGCTAATCTGAAACGAGGAAGAGCAATTAGATTAACTCCAGAAGTCTTTAAGGATGGTAGTCCAGTGTCAGCGATTAGCTTGACTAATATTTTTGCTAAGATCTAGGAGTAAGACGTTATCCCATCTGACTGGTCACAATCACTTATCGTCCCAATATATAAGAAAGGATCAAAATCATCCTGTGGTAACCACTGACGGGTTGGCTCGACTAATATAGCGTTTAAAATACTAGCCTCAATAATTATCGAACGCCTAACAAAGACTCGTGAACTGTAAACACGAGAAAATCAGACAGGCTTCAGACCTAGTCGTGGCTGCATCAACCACATATTTGCCATTGTAGATTGTAGAGCACATGCATGCTTATCGGCGTCCGACAATGGTTTTCCTCGACTTAAAAGCAGCATTTGACTCCGTAACCGAGAAATTTCATCAGAGACCTACTGCTGGAAACAACGTTCTCGTCATTTGAATTTTCGGGAATAAATTTCCTACCAGAAGATCCACTCGTCGCCTTATAATATGCAGATGATGCAGCTCTGCATGGTGAAGACGCTGGTAAAATGCAGTCTTTTGGCAGCACTGAGCAACAATGCCAGGATGGTTGGGATGCTTTACTTCCTCCAAATCAAATTTTTGCTTCGAGACTGGCCTGTATCAACACCTGAACTAAGGATAGGAAGTGAAATGGTCGAACGCGTCGATAACTTCACTCATCTTGGAAGTCTGATTAGCCATAACGGGTTGGTGTCTGACGAAATTTCTGAACCGGTTCAAAACGCTCGTTTGGCTTTTGTCAACGTCACCAATGGCGAAGGAGAGATATCCGTCTATCAATTAAGGAACGAGTATACCTCTCAGCAGTTCGTCTTGTTTTACTTTACGGCTGCGAAACGTGGCCATTAAGAATAGAGGATACTCGTAAGTTACTAGTATTTGATCACAGATGTCTTAGAAATATTGCTTGTATCTGCTGGGATCACCGGGCAAATAAAAGTGAGGTTAGACCGAATCGAGAACATAACTCTAGACTTCCCAACAGAGTATCAAAACATATCAGTCTATTCACATCAAATCGCCGTAAGAGTTTAGCTGAAATATAAAAACGAATCTAAAAATGCTTACTTTGGTAGTAATATAAACCGACCCCTTCGTTGTCCAAAAAAGAACCGACGTGATCATCAACTGCCGAGTATAGCCGGTCGACAAACGAATTAAATTCATTAGATGTTCGTTCATTTGTTGTATCAACTAATTTTCCAGCCTGATTAACCCAGACACTGAAAGCACTTGTTGCAATACCTTGACCATTACGACTAATCAGACATAAAGCACTTGTAAAATGATTTTTCTCTAATAATGTGTTTATCCCGGCTTTTTGCAGGGTTTGAATGCATTCATCATAAGATGTAGCATGACTAAACTTTTGACATAAAAATAAGAGTACTTCAATAAATGCACTATGAATCTCTTCGATATATGTAGCAAACTGATCACCAAGTATTTGATGATAGAGAATATCATTTGCATTTTCATTGATCATTGCACTTGTACTAGAAACAAACTGTCTTAGTGCTTCAACTAAATGCTGTGAGGTCGATGAACCAATAAGACACGCTGATAGACATGCAGCAGCAATACGAACGAGTAAAAAGATAGTACCACTTTCTGGAGGATAATGAGACTGTCGCCAGATTATGTCTAATTTTTCTAACGGATTTTCCTTGCCTTTTTCGATGGATGCCACACACATTGGAGAATGATATGTAAGAGCAGCTGATTCGAGACAGTTTGGGGAACAGTAGTTAGCTAAGCAATTAGGACAGTGAACAGTTTGGCTACAGTGAAATGATGCCTCTGGATAAGGTAATACAAGCGACGGATTGTTAGTAAGTCTTCTAGCATTCTCCTCCGATGTTTCGAGTGGACATAAACAATGATCGCAAGCTTTATATCCATAGAGCTTGTTCCATGAAAACTGACAGCATATTAGAGGGTCTTCTGAAAAAAGAATGTCTTCAGGATTTATAAATTGAGCAGCAACAAGACCCCTCCCACGAATCGGTCCGAAATCAACTTCTTTTGTAAGATTCATTGGTTTGAACAGGCCTACTGTATAAATTACAAAATTATTAAACATCGTTTAGACTTGAATAAACGAAACATACGCTAAGCTAAAGAGGCGTATATCCAAATACTTGAGTTAGCACAAACTTAAAGTGGAAATAGTAAAATTAAAGTGTGGTTTCACGTATACAATTGAACATCGTAATCTATACAACCCGATTGTAAAGAGAATGATCAACAGAAATTCCGCTCTGACATTATTTTATTTTGACACATAGATATTGGTACAAGGAGGCAACAAATATATATGCGCCACACAAATCTCATTCGATATGTGTGAGGGCTGTGATACTGCCCGGGCCTTCGACCTGAAGGTCTGATCCACAAGGCAGTGGAGCATCGTAAGGAGATGCAGTCCCATGGAAGCCGGTGACCAACGATTGGTTCATATGCCATTTGTTCCCGCAGGGTACTGGAGCCCATGTGCACTCTGACATTCATAAGGAATGAAACACCACCGAGTAGTATAAATTCACAAATGTTATAACTAACAGCTGTATTTTTCCCTGTAAGTCTAGAAGACCGATTATTTTAGAAAGTGAAATTTATAAAGAAACAGAACTCATACTCAATAACTATGAGTGTCTGAAAATTATTTATTTGAACACATAAATATTGATACAAAGGGGCGCTGAATACATATGTGCCACACAAGTCACTTGATTTGTGTGTGAGCTGTGATACTTCCTGGGTGCCCGAAACGAAGCAGATGGTCTACTTGGGGGAGGCGCACTTGGAGCCTTCGATTTGAAGGACTGATCCACAAGGCAGTGGAGAAACATCAGGAGATGCAATCCTATGGTAGCCGGGGACCAACAATCGGTCCGTACGCCATTTGTTTCCTTAGAATCCTGGAGCCCATGTGCACCATTGGTTTGGAATCAGGGTTTGGGTCCTCCATATTCATCAACCTGGTTAAAGCGCCGGACATTCGCTTTTCGTCCTCACAATTCCTTAAACAACACCCATGGTGTGAGAGCATTTCGAGAAGGAGAGCGGACTTACCCCACCCTCAGCCGTACCAAGGCATTTGGGGCGTCTAAAAATAACGTTGGCCTTGTATCTAATCTAACTTTAAAATTAGCATGTAGGTAGTAAAAAAACTTACATTAAGAGTCCGTATCCGCAAAAAAGGTTTTAAAGTAATTTTACGATGGCTTGACGATTAAATCTCTTGATCTCCAACCATGTTTTGATATTTAGACAGTCAATTAGCTTTAAACGAGTACATGAACCAAGTTGGGTTTGCATGATTTAGAAACTAGTTCGTCTCGTGTGTGAATCCTAACCAGTACATATTGGTAACCCAGAGACCCTGATTGATATAAACGATGACCATTCATATTAACACTGGGACACTTATTCTTTATATTGCCATGAATTCTCGATTTTAATATTACTCCACTTTTTACTGAGCAAACATAATCTAAAACTTCGAACAGTGCAGTTTTGCTACGTATGATTTTCACTAGAAAAGCACTTTAATGTAAATTCTTATAAAAAATTGTTATATCGAAATATATGACTATAGTCATGCTTAAGTGAACTTCAGTAATGTATAGCTTAATAACGTACCCAAAAGTGACTTTACAGATCTAAGTTACGTGCGGAAAAAAAGTACTTGAATTTGTGTTAGAATTAAACACCAAAGTGAGTTTTAGCTAATCCATACTTGTTAACGTTTGTAAACTATGTAACAAATTTGTGAGGATATACGCCACTAATTTGTATATAGGGTTTCATGGCTGTGAACTTCGTTACGATCTTTTATAAAGTAACTGGCTTATTTACGACCGCCTCTACTTTAGTCCCAGTAACGCTTAACTCGTAAACCCCTCTCAAGTTTTTGGAGCTAGTAAATCTTACTATCCTTAGATAAAGTTCAACTTTAAACACGGAAACCAAGACGACCAGCGAAGGTTATATAAACTATTCCACAACATCGAATCACACTAGGGTTCTACAACGGCTTCGACAGAGAATGATGCCGAAGCCACTATGGATGCAGCACAAATGCCCGGAGCTTGCTCAATAAGCGATCGGAACTAGGTGTACAGAATGACTCTACCAAGTTAGATGTAATCGCAGACGTAGAAACTTGGCTGAAGCAACGTTTAGTTAGTAAGGAACTTGGTTTTGAAAGTTTCACTTTAGTATGAGCCGACAGAATTCCGAAATGTAAATGAGAAGGAGTAACTCTATTTATTAGGAATATTATACCATCTGCCATTATCGACAGTGTATCTCATGATGTTGGAACGTATGAATTAGTTGATTTCCGCTTGAAATGCAAAGGACAAGATCTGCTGATTGATTTGGTCTACCGCTTTTCAATTTGTGAGGTAAATGAGGTCATGATAGGCAGTCTCAACCCTAGGAAAATTTGATGCACTCACTACAGACAAGAAAAATCTGAGAACCAAAGTGTCAGAAAATTCATTCGAGCAGAATTTAGTTAATGAGGATATCGCATGTGCCCTAGTGCAACATGTGAAAGAAGCGACTAGGTACGACCCGGACTCTGAATCATCCTTACTAGATCTTATATTGACCCTTTATGAGGATGGCGTCACGAACCACTATTACATGCCACCCCTAAGTAAAATGATCAAGCAGTTCTAACCTTTGACTTCCATACAGTTGTCAAAAACGGGCGCGCGTCAGCTCAATCCAGACCCAACTTCTGGAAAGCAAATATACAAAATATTGTACACAGCGTCGTCAGTAGATTGGACAATGGATCCAGAGTCCCCCAATTGAAACAGATTAGAGTGTATTTTAAAATTTATAGTTAAAAGCTACCGCACTCCACATGCCTTGGATTACATCAAGGGGTCCGAGAAGCTCTTCACTATGGCTTAGTAGGGAGGTTCGCACCCTTCCTCATAAGAGAAGAATGTGGGAAAGATTTAGGTTACTGGGTAGTGACGAGACAAAATCTCAATATCGAGAAGATCGAAATACTTGTGTCTCTACCATCCGTAATTCTACCATTATTAGCTTTATTCAATATCATATTTCAGGTTCAATATAGAATTCCCAGCACAAAGTATTTCAACAAGTTTCCATTTCTTATTTTTTGATCAATCCTGACGATAAATATTGAGTAATCATTAATTAGATGCTAGCAGTTCAGGAATCGACATATGGGTAATGTACATTCTTTTCGATATATATTGCCAGCAACCACAATGTCTCTGATCGCGCTCTTTCCTAACTTGTACAGCGAAAGGTCGTGGAGTTTTCACAAACACACCTGGATATGTTTTGCAATTAAATGACGTAATGACCTGTTGAAAGAAACAAAAGACAGATAACTTTGTAGGGCCAGTGGAATGTCACTGAGCCCTAGCCAAATCATCCGGCAGTTGGATCACTGAATGTCGAACAGGTCATCGCTCCCTGCCAAGGTCATGTACAGCCAACGCGCATAAGTTAATCGTGTACCATGAACTGGCCCATGCGGCAGTGGTCTCGCTTTCGCTTGTATCTTCTTTAACTCACATATTTCTGTAACGACGTCCCCTGTGTTGTACAGTCTTCAAAGCATCTGTGGTACCTTGGTATGTCAATGGGGTAGTCTACGTAAGGTGCTGACCATGAGGTGTGACTTCGATGTTAGCTAGTTTGTCACACCATTCACGTCTAACTCGAGTAGGCCTGCAATCATTTTCGACATAGATCATCTACGTCGGTGATCTACAACTTATTGAAGTATCTAGATGCAGGTACAGGTAGCCCAGATATTCAAGCGGGCCACCTAGAAGGTTGTACAAAGGAAAAAATTGTTAAGGAACCCATAGAATGCCCTAACCGTTTGTACTCCTTTATAAACCAGAGTATTCAAGCATTATGGGGTGACCATATTGCTTTATCATTAGTGGAGGAGGACTATCTTAAATCTCAAGTATTCTGAAGCTGTATATACCTTAGAAACACCCTTCCTGTCAGTATATACAAATCACCTCATGCACACTGGACAACATGACCATTAGAGAAGCTGATCCTTTTTATCTGCTAAATAAGCTTGATAAAAGCAAATCCACAGGACCCAATGAAATTCATTCTATGTGAATGCCCTTCCTCATATCCTATTATCGTCGGTCTTGCTACATGCTGACGATGTCAAGATATGAAGAGCGATAAAAAGTAAATGTGGTAGCTTAGAGCTTTAAGATGACATGGAGAAGTTGTTTGAATTATCCCAAACTTCTTAGTTGCCGATTAATACTTCTAAGTGTATTTTGATGCATATTGGTCATCAAGGTTCAGATACATACATAGTGAATAACACTGAGCTACTTGTTGTTCAGATGCGCAATGACTTAATGATAATAATAAGGTATGATTACTCAGTCTAATTCTCTTTTATTAAGGTATTTGTTAAGCAAGAGAATTTTAATAGGTTAAAGAAAATAAGTGTAAACAAGGTATTAGTGGACATACAACTGACAAATGGAGGCGATTCAGAAAGGAGCTGAGAGTATGGGATTATGTGTGGTTATAAAATATAGTGTGAAAAACACCATTGTGATATACAATTGACTATCTTCCTTTTTTTATCGAAGCTGTTGGAGCCTATTTTTCATCTTTTTTTGTATTATCATTATTATTTTTTTCGGGTATCATAGGGTTTTGAGTAGGCTTCGTATATTATTGAATTGTCTAGTTTGCTTGTAATAGGATTGCTGGGTATGAAGTGAAACCAATTCAACGTTTGTAACACGATTTAATGAGGTATTTTGCATGATAAATCAGCATTAATACCTTAAGTTAGAAGTCATCGTTAGCCAAGATTTGAGAACTGCTGCACCCTGCCGTGCGATAGCTGTCAAAGGTTTAAAGACCTTAGGGTCAATATTTAGAGCCTTTAGTCATGTCGACGCTAAAACGTTTTTGACTTTGTATACAGTATTTTTGTGTCCTAAACTTGGGTACTGAACATAAAAAGGCTAGCTCCCGTTTGAAAGAGACAGCGAGCTTTT